ACATATACATATATATATATAATATACATATACTATCCACACACACACACATACACACACACACACTCACACACACCACACACTCAACTCACCCTCCTCCAACACATTCACACACTCACTCCACTCACACACACATCTAAAATCAAAATTCTTAAAAAAAAAAGATAAAAATAAATAAATAAAAATATAAAATATATATATATATATATATATATATATATATATATATATATATATATATATATATATATATATATATATATATATATATATATATATATATATATATATATATATATATATATATATATATATATATATATATATATATATATATATATATATATATATATATATATATATATATATATAATTCAAATTATTGAAACCGTTATTTTGTCGGAATATTGCATCATTAATTATCAAGAACACTTTTTTTTTTAGCATAACTCTTAATTGTATGATCTATTGTAGACATCATTTTTCTGGGTTTGTGAAACTTTATCATGATGATTTTTTCCACCAATTTTATGTCTTTATTACAACAAAATCCACCCAAAAAAATCATACTTTGAAACTATGAATCCAAGTAATTATATTAGGAGAGAGAGAAAAAAAAATCAGATTGGAAGTGGTTATTATTATAGATGAAGGGCATAGTAGTATTTAGACATAATAAACTTTTATATATTAACAAAATTGACCATTTTGGCCGGCCAGACTCTGGCCGCGGAGCTTTACTGTATAGGGAATAACAGTCAAACATATTCCCTCCTTCCCTTTATATTTGATGTTTTGGCCATGAATTTTTTTTCCAATTTATTTGACGTTTTAAAATTCCAAAGCAAATTTATATTTTCCTTTCCATTTTCGCCCTTACTGTTAATTGCTCTAACTCTTCAGCTTCTAGGTACCTATGGAATTAATGAATAATTATTTGGAGAGAGGAAAGGGAAATCTGGGGTATTTCTATCCAATTAATGAGATTCTTAATTTGTGTGAAAAATCCTAAAACGTCAAATATTAAGGGAACGAGGGAGTATAATCTAAATTGGCTGCCATATGAGTCAAGAAATTAAATACAAAGAAATTTCCGCTTTACTGTATAGGGAATAACAGTCAAACATATAATCTAGATTGGCTGCCATATGAGTCAAGAAATTAAATACAAAGAAATTAAATACGGCTAAAGAATGGGCACGGCAGCTTCACAAGTCATGGGGAATAGATTTGTTCGACCCTACATCCGGTTAAAAACATTGGGTGGGTCTTCTGCTGCCACGTGTCTCTTTTTTGTATTTTATAATAGATTCCTCGCTAGGGTTTACATTTAGGAGTTTTAGAAAAATTAAAAAAAGAACACGTGGCAGCAGAAGACCCACCCAGTGTTTTTCACCGGGTGTAGGGTCGAAGGAACCATAGGGAATAATATATTTTTGTGTATGGTCAAAGAGAGTTTACTAATTGTTAATAAAATAGATTAATTTAATCACAGTTTACAAGTTTGATACGGGAGCTTCAATTTAATTATTCTATTTTTATTTATTATTATACGTCGGTTTAGATTTTCAATGCCGTATTATATTCATTTTTTTCTATTTTAATATTATTAATTAAACTCTAAAGACTTCTTTGGTAACCAAGATAACATTAAATAGACTAATACAAATCAAATTATTTTATCAGATTTTCGGACGTTCAACAAAAAAACCTTTAAAGGTCAAGATAAGGCATAATAACATAATATTTGCGAGTCGGTCCGGTAAGTAATTGGGGATAACATCAAACACAATCCAACTATTTAGTTAGTAATAACTAATTTACCCAACCAAATGAGGTCTAAGTATTAACTATCTCTTATCATATCATTAAATGATTAAAGTTATTTTAATCTTTTTAATGTAATTTTCGTAGACTCAAGACATATTTATTGACATTCTTAATTTTTGTGTAAAGTTGAAAAACGATAATTAATTAGAAATAGAAGTGTCTAATATGCATTGAACTTTAAATGATTTTTTTTCCATCATAAATCCCATTAGATATTGTTACGAACTTCAAAAGAAATAAATATTACTTAAATATAAATTATATATTCAACTAAAAGTCGAACGTACTTTTTTTAATTTACATGGACCCGGTTGGCTGAGCTTATTTTAAGCAGTAGATAAGCTCTTACGTCTTGATTAAATATTTTAAAAGCTGATAAGCTGTTACATCTTATTTTTAGAATTAAATTTTTATGTGTTTGGATAATGATTGTATAGGTTATTTTTAGTCATTATAAGATCTTATATAAAAGGGGTCTTAGGATATAGGTCCCTGGTGACCAAACTTATTTGAACTAAATGACAAGTCTAACTAAACATTTGCTTCACATCCTATATAAAATTCATTCCAAAAATGTCCCTCCACTCACGAATTTGAAACATTCATTAAGTAAATTCCAAACTGCATTTATCAATTTATTTATTATACATTTAATATTTCCATATTTTCATCTAATATATTTTTTTTTTCAAAATACCTGTTTTTCTTCCTTTTTCTCGTTATTTATTTTAGCATTTTATACACTATTATAAAAATTTCTTTTTTTTTTTACATAATATTGATAATTACAAAAAAAAATGCTATTTTTTTATTTTTTTAATTTCAGTTTACATATGTTTTTCAATTTTTCTGTAGTAGACTATGGTATACTACGACGTACTGTAGTATACTATAGTGTAGTGATGCACAATAGTATACTACGGTGTAGTATAGTATACTACGGTGTACTATGCTTTACTACCAAACTCTAGCCACCAAAAACTCCTAGCCAGCGCAAACCCTAGCCGCCAACGCAGCTGCCGCCAACCCTAGCAACCCACGCTCGCAGTCACCACGACTATAGTCACCTACCAACTTTTGAAAAACATATATCTGGCATTTGAACAACCCAAATCAAGCAAAATCTTTCAAAACACAAGGAAATTAGATCCAATTGATTAGTCAAAAAATACTTTCCATAACATCTCAACCATAATCACAGCCCCGCCCGCGCAACCCCCACGCCTTCCACCCGTCGTCGCCGCCACCGCCTCCACCGGCGGCCGCGGCCTCCACCCGCCTCTATCGTCTTCACCGGCCGTCGCGGCCTCCACCCACCGCTGCCGCCTCTACTATATCCTCTCGATCCACCGCCGGAATTTGCAGATCTGTTGTTCTCCGCCACCATAGCCACCGCCCATAGCCGCCGTCACCAATCCAACCATTACTGAGCGGCGAGAGAGATGTGGAGACATAGAGATTGAGAGGATAAAAACAACGACAAAGAGAGAACGAGAGATAAGAAGAGAAAATAAAGTAAAAGAAATAGATCTGATAAATTAAATGAACGTGAATATAAATATTATATTTAGGGTA